TGTAACCATTTAGCATTTTCTGCGTTGAATGTAACCGCAGGGAGTGTCTGGCTGAATGCGGTACATAGATATTTGAATATTGAGTTGGTATCATATGAGGAAAATATGGAAAATATCACTTTTGCTTTTGTCGTTGCAATGACAAGTACTTACTTTACGAAAGATGTGGAAATCTCATGAAATTCCAGAGACATCAAGTTAAAATTGCCAAAATTAATTATCTAAACGTATTTACGTGAATGGAATTTGCTATCCTTAATCTAGGTAAGGATATTATTCATATTGCCGTTTTAGGTCATTTTATATCACATGTTCCTGGCAAAGTTGTAGTTGATTATTGTATCATATATTCTCTATTGCATTTATTCGAAACCCAGCTACTGGAATCAGCAAGGTTAATCGTATCAGCATATGTTTGATTTTCCCATTCTAGTTCCATTCCCGGATGTTTTATCTTAACCGAAACAGTTATCGTTATCACTTGAGTATTAGACAATCTATTAGCTTGATCTATTAAGACACGTCAAATTGGGCAGTTGGTGAATCATTATGCATCGCCCGGGACCGCAATATTACCTCCTTCGAGTTGCCGAAGTTGGAGTCTCCCTTTGAAGAAGCCTAAATGTGGTAACATTATTTATGTAAAATGACGGTATTACTATTCTTTATGCAAAATGTTCCTTCGTCGATAATGACTTTATATGCGTTGGTCATCCAACATAAATTTAAGCATACGTTTTTTGTGTATGTTTATGCTCTTGTTGTATTGTTGCATGTATTTATTGTAGCGAGTATTCCGCTTGTGGACCTTTTGTCCATTTTATTACTTGTTCAAGATGTTTTATTGCATTATCGATTTGGTTTGCATTCGCTCAGGATTGTTTCACTGGGAGACCTAACTCTCTGTCTTCTCTGACTAGCCGGTTAATTCCGTTTTCTATTCATAAAGAATCGCTACAAGTTACCCATGAAAATGATAAAATAGCGTTGTTTGTTGGCTCTGACAGCTAAGTGGTAACCTTAAATGGGAATAAGTCTTCCAACTGAAAGTCTGATACGACAATAAATATACAAACCAATTACTTAATTCAAAAATAAAAGAAATCTTTCCCAGATAAGTTTC